TCGGCAACGAACCACGTATATACAGTACTATTGAGGAACTGAGCAACAATGTTTTTTGTGTGATTGACAGGTGGGTGATGCTGCACAACATCCTTCAGTGTTCGGTTCTAGCTTCCATTCTCAAAGCATGGACCTTGAGAGCTGCTTTGGCCATGCCGCTGGCCTCACAATGGCCAATTCATGCCAGCTTTTGTGTAGAGACGACATCACAATCGCTCTGGAGTCTCAAGTCGGGAAACAAGTGCTTGTGAATGGAGCCTCTAAGATGCCATGTGAATCGCTTGTCAACAAAAGCCAAAGTTGAATGCTAAAGCGCTAAAGCGCTAGCCGCTATAGAGTGAGTGGCCACCCAAGTTCCTTGTCCGTTCCGGTGAAACAATGGTAGCTGCAGCGGCTTGAGTGTAAGGCATTCTTTTTGTGACAACAAAAAGGCCTGATTGGCTTTTATGAGGTTCTTCAAACGTCAATGAAACCCTCTTAGGTTCAGAGAGTGCTTGAAAGCTGAAGCCACAGGCCAAATCATCCAAAATAGGGCTGCAGCAAGAACTTGTTCCAAATCAGTGAAACATGCATCTGTTGCCAAATCTAAAGGTCGTGGTAGACCTTTTCGCACAGCTAACTTTCGTGGTCCAGGCGATTAAAGGTCGTCCTTTGGTGAAGACCACCGACCACCCCAACACACAAAACCACAGGGCACATTGTACTTGGTTGTGCCCGAAATGAGTAGATTATACAACAGATCATCTATCTGATTCTATCTGCTTCAATTTTGGTGGACCAAGCTGAGCTGCGGCCAAAACAAGGTGGAAAACCCCTCGATGTAATGATACGGAATGAATATGAGGCATATTACTATTGGGGGATCTTACAATCCCTACCAACCAGCCATCAGAGGTTTTGGTCGCGGCTCAATTGAAAATTGGCATCATACACAGATGCCTTAGCGGGAAGGTGGTCTGCGGTGCGCAAGGAACTGCAAGGAGATAGAGGGATCTATGTCCTCCGGACGACATCTGAGCAAATGCTGTCGCATAGCCTGCCCCTTTGGTGCGGGCTGCGCGACAAGCACCTGTTGTCAGAGGACATCTCATGTTTGTAGGTCGTGAGAAAAACACCTCGTTACATGTTTTTTGTATCACTGTACATGCCCACGGACTGTGAACGATGAAACACTTGACCAACTACTTCGTCAGCAAGGACAAATAATGAATTGCTTTGCGTCGAGTGATCCCCACCCGGAGAGGCGATTTGGAAGAAGGCAAGGCACATGTATTGACAAACTATCTTGACAAACCCTACCTGACATGTGTGTTGACACAATGTTCTGCCACTTGTTTTGGCATCAAATTTGGTATGTTTTCTGACACATCATCGCGTAAAAGGCTGGGAAATGTTCCAGCATTTGTTTTTTGTGAAGCATGACATGTGTTCTGACAGATTCTGACGTGGTTGCTAGCATATCGTTTGGCATGGCGATTTTCCAGTATTCTTTCAGTCTGACATTCTTCTGGCGTTCTATGTGGCTCCTATTCCAACATCCTGTCTGGTTTTCTACCTGGCATCTATTCTGACATTCTTGCTGGCATTCCATCTCACTATCTGGCATCTACTCTGACGATGTAGTCTTTTTCCGGAATGTGTGCTGACGTCCTTGTGGGCATGTGTTCTGACATATCTTCTGGCATGTATTTCTGACATTTGTTCTAGCACGAAACTGGCATGTGCTCTGGCATGTGTTGCAACCTATGGTCCGACTTCGGTTCTGATATGTGCTCTGACATGTATTCCGGTAATTGTTCCGCCATCATACCTGCCACTTGTTCCGACACATGTTCTGACATGGTTTCTGCCATATGATTTAGCATTCTACATGGCAACTTTGCGACATTCTATCTGACATTCTTCTGGCACGCTAGCTGACATCTATTCTGACATGGCATCGATTCTGACATCCTTCCTGGCATTCTCTCTGGCTTGTGTTCCGACATTGCTTCCAGCATCTACTCTGACATTCTTCCTGACATTATTTTTGCCATATTCTCTGGCATTCTTTCTCGCATGTATTCGGGAATTCTATCTGGAATGGCATGTGTTCGGGTCTGTGTGCACCCTGACCGAGCTGGAGCGCGCTTTTGTGTTCAGGTCTGTGTGTGTGCCCAGCTTCTGCTGTGCCCACAGTGAGGACGAACTGGAGGAGGAGAAGGAAAGGGAAGTCTGAGCCCAGTGTTTGGTGAGCTGCACAAAGAGGCCCAAGGGGTATCTGCCTCTTCTCCTTTCTGGCACCCCAATTGAAAATGTGCATACTTCTTCAACTATATAAATGTATATAAATGTATTGATTCGAAGAGGGTGAACCTCTCGACCAAAATTGAAAAGAAACAAGTCAAGCTCAATCTCGAATTGAAAAAGAACTATAACGTGACTGATAGGATCCTGATTGAAACAGCTTTACGTGCTGAAGCCTCTGAGAATATCTCCACAAGAATCCCAACGTCGTCCCTTGCACTTGAAGTGCAAACTCAGCAAACTGCCCTTGGCTAGGGAACATCCACAACTGGGTTGATGAGTCTGGAAACACCTGATTCTGCACAGGTTCCTACAAAATGGTGCACATGGATACACGTGTCAATTAGGTTGGAACGTGTTCAAATTTACGACGAACGATGCTCTAGTAGCATCGATATCTCAGCTTGGATGTTCATGATTTGAACTCTCTGGCATTGCCAGTCCGCTCAGGTGAGAAACCTGACACCTTGGCCATTCAGAGTGGTACAGTGGTGTACGTGGAATTCTGGTAAAAGAAATGAAAAATGGAAAGAAGGCCTTATCTGCCTGTGTCATCGCTCTTTTCTTCTTTTGATATGCTGTATACATATAGCCCAGGCCCCAGTCCATGCTAAGCTTGCTGTGCAATCTTCCCGTCCTAACAATCAGCTTCACTTGTAGTTGATGAGTTCAGAACATTCTAAGAGCGCTGATACGAGTAGTGCTAGTTGTGCACTGCTGAAACCTTAGTACACCACAAATTCACATGAAGCTGCTCCAATTCACCTTTGCGAACAACAGCCCCAAGGCCAAAACAGCGAGCATGAAGAGCCTTCGATGTTGACTTTATAGCTGCTGCCTGAGAGGCATTCCCAGAATGATCTGTATTTTGCACAACAAGCTGCAAACTATACAATTGTCTGTTCTCCGGATCCACAAGGAGCCAACATTGGAATCTCTCCATCAGTGGTCACCGGACTGTTGACCTTTGAGTTCACAAATAGGCATAATCCGGTCATGAGAAACTCCCAGACTTTCTTGTTTAGGTGTGGACAGGTCCAGCTGGCTCCGACTGCAGCGAAAGAGACAACACCGTGCGCCTAAGTTTCACAAAGCCTACAATGACGCCATTCATGGAAAGCAACACCAAAATTTATCCCAAGCTCACAATGCACCAGCTGAAATTAAGGTATATACAGTACAATATATTAATATCATGCATTTCTCTTTTGATGACTTATGTGTGCAAGCAGCACTTTGCGGCTTATTCAAGCAAGAAGTGAATATGTACGAACTACAGTGTGGTCGGAATTGTGTGTCTCCATTATCCAGAGAGTTCACTGCGATGTCCCATAAATCAAATATAGTGTGGCTGCGGCTGGTGTCTTGGTCTTCCTAAGGCAAGCGCCCAACTTGAATTGAAACTGCACTGCCATGGTCAAGGGGGCGGGGCTTCTTCATGGCAACAAGAGTACCTGAATAGAAAAGTGCTTAAAAACACACCCACATGCCAAATTTCTGGTAATGCTTGTTGGACAAAAGTGCTCTGAAGAATGTCCACAACCATCACTTTGGGTGTCCCGCCGAATTTAGAGTTGTGATCTTCAAGGACGAAGCTGCCTCAGAATCAACGAACTATTTTGAGGTGGTCCTCACAAAGAAGCAACTTGAATTGGAGTATCTGAGCATCTGCACCCTTTTGATAGCGAATTGTGGCGTGACAACGAGAGATTGACCTTACATCCAACAACGATCAAGGTACACCCATCCCACTTGGGCATCTTTCATTCTACTAGGAACAAGAAGCTACTAGGTGGAGGCCATCGCTATTAGGTTGGAGGCCATTCCTACTAGGAACAAGAGGCTACTAGTAACACATTCTCTTGAAAAGAACACTTATGGCGGCCCGCGGCAATTCACTTTGTCCAATTTAGTTCTGGACACATCGGCAATGCGCACATTGCTTTCATGGCCTGAACCACGCTCAAGCTGCTTCGCAAAGCATGCAAAAAGCAAGAGTAAAAGTGTTTTGCTCGGCTTGGCAAGTAAAACGATCGCAGCTAAACAATACAAACTTGCCTCTGCCAAGCTTCAACAGCTTGGTTTCCGCAAGAGAGACCTTATTCCCGCGCTGCCGTCGGATCAAGCTACTTGTAGTTTTACAACAAATTTATACAAAACTTTAAGGTCAAGCCAAAAACTCTGAAATCCATGTCCCAACTGAGTCATGCCACGACATGCAAACCGCGGCTGCTATGCCTCAGATTGGCTTTGAAGTGCCAAGTGCCGATGTGACCACTCTGGCTGCTGTGGCCCAGACTGCTGCGAGTCGCGCATCATGTTCTCCAGAACCTGGAGTGATGACTCCGGGGTGCAGGTAGTACGAGACCCTAGTAGCTTCTTGTTTTTAATAGTTTCTTGCTCCTAGTAGTAAGGCCCTTGTTCCTAGTAGCGATGCCAGGAGCCCCTAGTAGTGTCCTTGTACAAAAGAAACCAGCAGAGTTGACAGAGTTGCCAATCTCGCGAACCAGTGGCCTTTGCCAGCATCCCTTCGATCAACAATATGCGGCAATGTGCACCCACTTGTGGACTTTGCCACTTGTCAAAAGCTTGTAGGTGCATGATCTAAGAAACTAATTGGGGCGCATGACCAGTTCAGGTAACTGGTTGTGTATATACTTTTTCACTCAATGGAACCTGTACAAAGCGCTTTTAAATCAAAGAGGCACTTCCTCTCAGGACTTGGGCTCGCCACACACCACAGGGCCTTTGACTGCCTGCTGCAAGTATTCGGTGTGCGAATGTGTAGGTCCAAAAAGCAATAAAAGAACATCTCTAGAAAACAAAAAAGTGTCTTTGAAAAGAACACAGAATCAATAAATAAACAAATAACAAACAAATACACAAAAAAAGACAAGAAAAACATCCTGCACTTAGTCTGTGAGTGCGTGTGGTTGCATTGCTGCAGCTCTTGTTGCTTGGAGTATGATGGTCTCAAATGTTCATTTGGTAATGTTGTGGTCCAAGGCTGGCAGTGCAAAGACATGTAGGCCTGCTAAAAGTTGCTGATTTATGCGTCAGCTAATGATATCTCATGAAAATAGTTATTTACTTTAAGACAAAACGAACAAGCGACCTTCGAACTCCTCATTTGGTGACAGGTCAATTCTTTTGACGGACATTGTACACGAAGTTCACTCTGTCTGGGTAACATGCTAGCGTAGCGTCGACCATTGTCATTTCCCCGCGCCATGCAATGGCCTCAAGCAGTATGCCTCGTTGCTCTACACTTCCTCCAAGGCAACCCCAATGTGGTCTCAGTGCCCACACGTCGTCGCGTGCCTCGACGGCCACAGCAGATATCATTGAAGGGCGAGTATCAAAGTTGTGTCTTATTTGACGGACTTGTTCCTCTCAACTAAAAGTTGTGGGACATGACGGGACACATGACATTGTTCCTGACCAAAATAGGTGTGTAACCAGACTCAGTCCCTCTCTGCCTTTGCACGGCGATCTAGATTTTCTGATGTATCTTGCACATCAGGTCCTTAAACCAATCACAATATTCCACACGGATGTTGCAGAAAGCTAGACGCTAGACTTCCTTGACTTACAAAAAGGAATTGTATCATATTGTAATTGCAATGGTGTTTGCCTCATCTAAGGGTGCTGCTGAAGATTTCTGCAACAAGACGCGCCAGGCTTCCATAGGCATCGGCTCTGCCATCTGCACCAGCCGCTCCTTTCGCCATCTCCTGCGGTTCTGCTTCACAGCGTCAGCGCGTATCACTGCTCGGCCATGGGCCATGCGTGCCTCCGCATGAGCTTTTGCTGCGGTCAGGAACAACTCCAACGGTTGAGAGTCCTTTCCAAGCACCGGAAAGGCAGTCTAGGGTTTGTCAAACTAGCTGCTGGATAACAATGGGTGTACCGCATATTTTATAGTATTTTTGGCCATGGACTTGTCCTGCTTCGCATCTATGCAAAGCCCTCGGATCAAAAGGATGTCAAGCAGCAAATCACTGTGCTGCAAAGCACCTCAAGTGCTGCTCCCACAAGCTTCCAAAGCACACGGTCATGCTTGACTCAGCAACTCTAAAGTCTAAAGCACATGGCAATCAGGCCTTTCTCGCCGTCTTTCGGCAACGAAAGTCCTTTGCACCCTTCGAGAACTCGTCGCCAACGTGGAAGGACTGCAACCTACAGGTGCTTCACTAATCTGAATCTCACACAAACTCTTCCGAACACCACTCCTGTCTCAGCTCCAGCCGCCAAAGCCTTGGATTCACAGTAGCAAGGACGCTATTAATAGGTGGAGGCCATCGCAACTAAGTAGGTTGGAGGCCATCGCTACTAACTCACTTGCTTTAGTTGAAGTTCCCCAACTAAACGTACTGCGAACCGCGAACATGTCCATAACTTGCATGATGTGGCTGCTTCTTGGTTGACCATGCCAAACAACATAAATCTACATATATATATATATACAGCATATACATTATGTATGTATATATGTGTGTATATACAAGCACTACTACAACCAAAAACTTAAGAATGGAATCCAAGCATCAGATTCAACGCATTCAACTGAACCTGTTGCAAGCTTAATGCCAGTTTCACGCTTTGGGATCCGCAGCCATAGCAGCTAGGTTAGAGCATTACTAAAAGGGCTTAAATGCGGTGCCAAGGCCGCACCTTTTAATACAAAAAATGCCGGAATCATCCGGAAGTCATATCTCCTTGCCAGAAGGACTCTGAAAGAGGACGTCGTTTGCTGAGCAGTCTGCGCCTGCGGATCTTTGCCTTGCTCCAAGCCAGTGGAGCCTTCAGGCCAGAGTCTCTCCTTAATTTTCCCAGAGTCTCTCCAAGGCCGAGTAGTTGTTGAATACCAAACCGCCAATGGCGCTGCCAAGATTCATCAAATATCGCCAAGCAGTCATCAAAGTTGCCCCGCTCACAGTGCCTCAACATGCTAGAGCACGCTAGAGACTGTGCTCTAGAAAAAGATGCCGCACTGGAAGAACCGCTCTGTTTGACTCAGGCACAGTAGAGCAAGGTGCCACCAGCAGTGTGTGTAAAGAAACGGATGCAGTGCCTCCCAAAACGACATGAACAGGCCACTTGTACCAATAGATATGAAGTCGAAAGTCACAAGTTGCAGGGGTCAAGGTTAAAGTCTCGTTCCGCTCTGCCTCCTTTGACCAATTGCTGCATCGCTGTTTTAAGAATTCTTCCGCATCTGCCAGTCTCCCCTCGCCTCACAAGCTATTTGATACCAAAGAGTCAGTTTCTCAAAAAATCTAGGAACCAAATGATTAGTGCGAGCGCTTCTTCAAGAAAGCTTGAGCTATCCTGCGTCCAGTTACTAGAAGCTAACTATTAGTAGCTAGTAGCTTACTCCCTTACGTGCTTAGGTAGGCGCCTTCCTATATAATAAGCAGGAGGGCGGGGCGGCGGGGCAGCGGGCTAAAAGAAACAACTGACCAGTCTCTAGTCCCTCTCCTCCGGCCTTGAAAATACAAAGCATGAGCCATCCCGTGGTCAAGCCAGGCATCTGGCCCCAAACTGGACTCAAAGGCTAAGCCTTCCTTTGCAATCCTTTCGGCATCCTGCGCAAAAAATAGGCTCTATATGCAAGGCATCTCTATTGCTAAAAAGCAATTCTTTGAACAGCACAAAATTATCTGAGTACAAAGTTGCTCCTGGTAGCGGCCTTGCTGCTCAAGACCGAACGCCCACATGCCGTGCAAGTACTTGGGGGGAGGAACAGCCTTCCCCTCAGCTTGCAAGATTTGCAAGAAATAGTTTGATAGACAAAAGGAATCGAGCTCAAGTTCGGAAGATCGAAGAAGAGTTGGAGCGAATCATGCAATCAAGGCCAAATCGACCATGGCCAAGATGCACTCTTCTCTGCAGCTATCCTTGCTTCAGTACAACCGTGAACCACCAAGACATGATGCACGTTATGCTGCCAAGCAGCTCCACAATATCCAGCATTTTTTGTCCATCGCCAAGTATGAGCCCCATAATATGCCCACGCTTTACCTGTTGTGTAAAGCACACAGAATCGATGAAGAGTGTGCTCTAAGATGTCTTGAGCGGTGGTCTTGAGTGGTGTAACATGGGTGTAACTTTCAATATCGGGATGGGCAGTTTTGCTTGCGAGGCGCAGCAAATAGATCACTTGGATGGCGCTGCACCACCTGGCGTCGTCCAGAATCTGCGGCCATACTGTGTGTGTGTGTCTCATTCTGAGGTGCAAACCTCTGCGAGAATGTTGTAGCATCCAACAGGGTCGCTCATCAAAACCCACAAGCGCCAGGCCTGTCGTACATGTTCGTGAACAATAGGACTTGAGGCCGAGGGTAGGTGACGAAAGCTAGCAGGGGTGCATCCGGACTGGTGGGACATCAAGCGGAGTGAGGCAAATGCTCATGAGGTAAAACGTTGTGAACATGTAAGACACACAAACAGCAATGACACAGCCAACCTTCGAATTGAAGTCCCCGACAATTAAGGAAGCGTGGCTGGACTTTGCCACACTGTTCGATGCATCCGATGTGTTCACGAACCTGTGAGCTTGTTGAATCTGTTGCACCGTATCCCAAAACCTCCACGGAGGAGTTGAACCAGTCATGCCAGTCATGCCATAAGAGGTGCCCAAGAGGTGTCCCAGAGGCAAAACAAAGCTGCTTGCATGATTTGCTTGGCTTCTTCTATCGATGTCGATGTCATGAACATGTGAGCTTGTTGAATCTGTTGCACCGTATCCCGGAGGAGTTAAGCCAAAGTGGATGCCATAAGAGATGCCCGAGAGGTGTCCCAGAGGCGTCCGAGGGGGGAGTTGAGCCCACGGGGGGGGGGGGAGGGGTGAAAGAGTGACTAGGGCGTACACGGTAGAGGTGCAGACCGCTAGTGTCTTTTACTCACGCAGAGTCTTATCCTATATCTCTTGAGCCTTGAAGCAGTCAAGCATGGACACACTATATCAGCTGTTGGAGTGGAACCCTGTACAGGTAGGCTCTACTTTTCAGCAGGCACAAGATTCATGTCCACTTCTAGCTGATTGCGTATGTCGCATACTCTTTTTCTACTGCAAGGCTAAAACAGTCCAGCTAGCTCTGACAACTTAAAAGAAAACTACGGTGCCATGTACTTACCTAATCCAGTGTGTTTCACACTTTGGAGAAGGTAATCTCATAGCTACTAAATACAGTGAGGGAGCAATAGCTGACTCACCTCAAGTACAAAATCAAAACGATAATGTACCTCGGCTGGAGACTGTACTTTTCGCAGGCGGAGATACCATGTACCGGCGCTCACTAGCTCTTTATGGCCTGAGCTAAATCAAACTAAAAAGGGAAAGCGGCTTTTTCTCTACAGAGACCTATAAAAGAATCAAACGACACTCGCGTAACAAAGAACTAAAAATTCAAGACCGCACAAACTGCAATGAATTAAGATGCCTTGCAAAATGCAAGGAGCGTACGGTCCGAGGAATAATCTTCTCGTGACGTGGTCTCGACCGCTTTCATTCACAGACAAAATAAAACTGCATCAAAAAGACTCTTTCTCATTCACATCAAAAACACAAGAAGGAGATACCGGCAAATGTATGTACAAAAAAATCTTGCACTACAATTGCAAATCATGAAATGACTTAATCATCAACCATGACTGGTTGTCCATTAGAGGTCATCTCAGAAAAAAGCGGCTGTAATAGATATCATCAGTTGTACAAAACTGTCCATACCTATCTGCACGCTAAAGCGTATAAACCTGGAATGCAGGAGTATCTTCTTTGATAAAAAGTTTCTCCTCATTGCAAACCAGAATTTATTAAAACTTCAGCCTGGCAATTTAAAGTCAAGCCTGGAAGCAAAGTATCAACTGTAACCAGAAGTATCTTCACTTCCTAGCCATCATTTAAATTTCAGCCTTCGCTCAGGAATTATGCCGCTGCAAACGATGAAGTTGCTTGATCAGAAGTTGGCGGCCTTCCTTTCTTTCTATTCTGCTTCTGTCTCTCCTTCCTCCGCAAGTTAGCCTCATGAAGAGTTGGTCCCATGCGGTACTGTCTTCTGTCTCCAGATGAAAAGGAAGCTGGTCTGAGTGAAATAAACATTGGACCATGACTGTCCTCGTCAGTGGGCCTTGAGCACATAACCTCTGTGTCAATCATAGCAAAGTTCTCTGAAAAATTACAGATGAACTCCTTCGTGCTCACTGTGGAATTTTCATATTCCTCTTCACTCATTGAATGACCCCATTCAACAATGGTAGACAAACATGTATCGCCAAGCTGTGATCCTTGGTATTCTTCTTTTTCAACAGTAGAATATTCTTCCCAGAGTTTGTCAAAGTAATCTTCACACTTCTTGAGGACCTGTGAAGTTGAACTGTAAAAAGTTCTGGGAATAGGTGCTTTGATACCAGGATCTGCTTTTACACGGGCTTCTGAAAACCTGCGGATCCAATGCTGCATGGTGCTGTAATAGTAGTTAGCCATTGGCTGCCTTTTGTACCCAGACATTCTGTAGGCCAAACTATTTGCATCACCAGAAATGATGTCCACCTCATAGACAAAACACTCGTAAAGCATCAATGCTGTCTGTTCTCCTGTCAGTAGGTGGGCATCCACAGCACGGTGTGTATCAACATGATAATTACAGACTCTGATGGTATGCATGTTCGCTCGAGTAAGTGGAACACGCTTGTCCTCAGGACCATAGTCATCAAATTCAAAGTCTGCATCCTTGAAATCTTGACGAGGCCTTGTTTCTCCAAAACAAATCTCGTAGATAGCCCAAGTTACATCACGCTGTTCACAGTGACCAAGTTCTTGATCATGTCCAGCAATGATCTTGACATATCCACCTGGTGCCAATCTAGCCATCACTGCAAGATTCTCCCAATCATTGAAACAAACTGTCCAATTCTTTTGCTCAATAAATTCCTTGGCAGGAACAAGAAGATGAGCTTCCTGGAGAATCACGACATGCGCACGTAAAAAGAAGAGCATGTTGAAGAAAAGGTTGTTCTCAAATTGCTCATTCTGAAGTGACATGGCGCTCTGTTTGCGTGGCCTCATTGCACTATCAAGTCCTTGGAGAAACCTTGGTGTGGTGTACTTCTGACCACGAACCATGTTGCCATAGTTCCAGGATAAAAATGTCAAGGACTCTGAGCTGGCCAATAAGTTAGTTCCATATGGTTCTTCTATTCTTCCTTTGAGGAACCTTCTGCACAGCTCTTCATAGAAGGTGACAAAGTCCCAACTGGGTCCCTTGGGACCATATGATTCCAGTTCCTTCTTGAGTTCCTTCTTCGTATCCTCCAATTCTTCTCAAGCATGTCCTGCCCTTTCAAGGGCCTTTGGATCGACCTGATACTTGCCATCCAAATAAATGATGCGATCATCATTGATAAAGAATCTCTTTAAATCATGCTCTGGTTCATGTTCATAACAATCAGGTGGAGGTACTGGACAGATATTACGAATGGATCGAACAAAATCATTCTCGTTGATCCTCGACTGATAATGAGGATGGGAAATCTCACCTTTTCTGAAACAAACATGATTCAGCAATCTTGCATGAGTTTCCCTGAATCATAGTTGATAAAAGCCAATACCTGGATCTCCTGTAAGCTCTCCAAGCAACTTCAAAGGTGAAGTATGCAACTCATAGGTATTGTCAACTTTTGTTGTATCCTTTTCAACAACTACTTCAGATGGAAAAGATTCTTGGATTTCAGCCTCCAATTTCTTCTCTCCATCATCCTCTCTGACCTCCTTTATTTTCTCCACCGCCTCTTTCTTCTCTTCCATGGTTGCATCATCCTGAACTTCTTCGTGAAAATGAGGATCAGGAATCTTATTCAGGCGGCTTTTCTTAGATTTCCGCTGACCTGAAGTATCATCAAGGTCAGCATCCATCTCACCTGATGGTAAGTGCGACGCAGTCGAGTCCTCACCTATCTCTCTTGACAGAAAGTGTGGTGTTGACTCTTCCTTGGCTTCCTCCTGGTCCACTTCCATCTTTGGTTCCTCTGAAGGAAAAACACCTGCATCTTCATCAAATATTTCTTCTTCCTTTCCAGGTTCAACTGCAGGATCTTCTTCAGGAACTTCCTCTTCCATATTCTCATCTTCTAGAAGTGTTCTACTTCCAGTATAGACTTCACCAGTGATAGTGGAGACTCTTGTATAAGGAGGAACTTCTTCACCTGCTTCAAAAGCTTGTTCTGCAACATCCTTGGTGAGCAAGTCCTCTACAAGATTTTCTCCCTCGGTTCTTGGAAGAGGTCCTGAGGTCTCATAAAAATCTGTCCTCTCTGAACTGAAAGCTTCTGTCGCCTTCTCATTGTCCTTTTGATCCCTGAACAGGTGAGTAATCTTCACAGCTTCTCCCTGTAGCACCTGATCACCTCCTCTATACTTGTCGACAATGGAGCGCCATACTGGAACATCATCATCATCAAAATCAAGCTCCATATCATCTGCCAACAGGTATGAGATGTTTTGAGCTGCCTGTTCTTCTTCTTCATCACGTTCTTTGGCAAGCTCCTCATCCTTCTGGATCTTGAAGATACCCTTCAGGATGTCTTGTAGTACCTTTAAGTTCAGCTTCGATGATGGCTCATACGTCCCTGAACTTACAGGCTCAACTACAACACGAGAGCAAGAAATCGCCTCCAAAAACTTGGAATTGTATTGGCGTTCAAACTCTTCCTTCTTGATCATCTCATACAAGGGATCAGAAACTGCAACGCGCGCCTGAACATACTCACGAAGTTGATAGCATGCATGTTGCACAAATCTACTGTTGGAGTTGTGAAGAAAACTCTCCAAATGATTCCTGTCACGGTCAATCAAATACCACACAATCCTTGCAGAAAAACGGAATTTCTTGAAGTTCATAGCAAAATGTGTATGATACTTCTCTGGATTCCTTTCTGCTTGTAAGGCGGCCTCTGAAGTCTTGTAGGCTGGGAGATTTGTGTCTGGATCCAAGATCATAAACTCTTCCCACAAGATCGAGTGGTCAAGAACCCACTTGGGAAGCACCTTGATGAAAAAGTCACAAACAAGTTCTGACACAAGGTGCATGACACGACCAATCTCTTCCTCCTGCTTGAAGCGATAGTGCAATTTGGCAAATAAGGGATTGTTGAATGCTTCCTCCACTGTATTGCCAAAATTATCCCACTGAGGTTCTGGAATACCAAAGTTCCAACCCAGCAATTTGGGATCTCTGCACATATCCAAGAAGCTTGAAAGCTCTACAGAAGCAATGCCATGGTCTGTCAGAATTTCAGCCCAGCGGCGTCCATTCTCCCAAGCACGGATGAAGAAAAACTGTTGGTATCCAGTTTGTGCCAACTCCATCCACTGAGAAATTCCGGGTTCA